CAGAGTGTTGTTCAGCATGGGGGTGAGTAGAAAATGAAGGCTAATCATGTTTTGGGTGGACTATTCCTTTAACACACAGAGTAAAAAGTCTTGATCATGGTATCTGAAGGTTTTTATTAAAAGGATGCAATTGGTTTATTTTGCAGGTTTTTCTGTTCCTATGGACGTGTTTAACTGTCAAATAAATATACAATAATTCAGTCAAATCTTGTTAAAACTACATATCCAATTCTATTCAGTTTATTTCTATAGCGCCAATTCACAACACATGTCATCTCAAGGCACTTAGTCACATTGATTCAAAGTTTTGCTGCGACTCATTGACTGAAATGCTTGTAGCGACAGTGGAGAGGAAAAACTCCCTTTGACCAGGAAGAACCCTGAAATAGAACATGAAATATAATACTTGTGATAAGTCTTTACTAATTAGTTTCCTGCATCTGTCAGTTAATTGAATAAATCATTTGATTAATATGCTAATATCCAAAAAAAAGTTCAGGCAAAAATCCTTACTGCACTGAAAATACAGCATAGTAGCAAGAGAACTTACCACAAATCATATAAGAGCAACTACCACTGTCCAGTTCTGTTTGAATGAACAAACTTTATTGATCCAAAGGGGTAAATAAATGTTGTCATCTACTCAGTTTCCTGTAATCTCCTAAAGACCTGTTTGTGTTACAAACTCAAACATCCCTCTCTGTTTAAAGGGCACTGTACAAAGGTCTACAGTAGCCATTCAAAATGTCCCTACTTTCCTTGATGGGTCCTTGGCTGGTCCTCTAAGATTCGTCTTTTTAAACAGGAATCTTTTTACTAAAATATTCTTTCTGTCATGATTTGTGGTCATTAAGATCTAAAAAAAAAAAGCATCATCTCCTGGTCAGACCCTCCATCATCTGCTGGGGTAAGAACATCAGAGAAAATAACCTAAAGAAGCTCGACAGGCTGATAAAGAAGGTCGGCTCTGTTCTAAGAACCCCTCTAGAACCTCTGGAGATTATTTCCCAGTAATAAAAGGAACATTTTTGACAACATCCAGCATCTTTTTCATCAGAACAAAAACAACGGAGATGGTGGAAAATTGCCAAAATTATTATCTTGCTGCTATTATTTCAAATTTTGTTATATTCATTATCTCCTCCTACTTGGGATAAAACACATCTGGTTGCTATAGTTCTGCATCATAGCAGAGTCCCAAAGGAAAAACATATCAGCTATATCCTGCAAAAAAATGGAAATCTCAATAAGTAATTTCTTTGTAAAGAAAGAACTTTTTCTTGAACTGAGGAGGTGTGTGAGCCACTTTGACAATGGAACAAGAACATCTACATTTAAAATCAGAAAAACAATTACAGTCTCTTATTTTTAGTGAATATTATCTAATTATCTTATTTTAAGAGTAAAATTATTCATTCCATTGGCATATCATCTTATTGGCCTACCCAAATTAAGGTCAAATACACTTAATTTAATTTTTACTTATTTTTAGGTTGTTTTTCCAGTGAATGCCTCAGTGTAAGAGAGCAAAGCGATTTTGTCCTTTAGAGACAGAAAATCCAAGTTTAGCTGAACTTATTAATGGCTTAACCCTTTATAGGGCACACAGTGAAAATACTTTTAGAAGGGCCGGGGGCTTTTTCATCCATTTTCTTTATCTTTAATAGGGACCGGGTCGTGGAGGCAGCAGTCTAAGCAGAGATGCCCAGACTTCCTGATCAACACACACCTCCTCCAGCTGCTCCCTGAGCCGACACCAGGCCAGCTCAGAGACATCGTCCCTCCAGCGTGTCCTGGACCTTTCACCAGGCCTCCCCCTAATGGGACATGCCTGGAACACCTCCCGAGGGAGGCGACAAGGAACAGATGCCAAAGCCTCCTTAGCTGGCTCCTTTTGACGTGGAGGGGCAGCAACTCTACCCCAAGCTCCTCACCCGATCTAGAAGGGTGCGCCCAGCCACCCTGTGATGGAAACTCATTGCAGCCGCTTGTATTCGTGATCTTGTCCTTTCGGTCATTACCCAGATCTTATGACCATAGGTGAGGGTGGGAACGTAGATTGATCTGTAAATTTTGCCCCCCGACTGAGCTCCCTCTTCAGCCCGACAGTCCGATACAGCGACCGCATCACTGCCGACGCCGCACCTATCTGTCTATCGATCTCACTTGTAAACAAGACCCCGAAATATTTGAACTTCTCCACTTGAGACAAGGGCTCTCCACCAACCTGAAGAGGGGAGTCCACCTTTCTCCAGTGGAGAACCATGGCCTCAGATTTGGAGGTGCTGATGCTCATACCGACTGCCCCAGACTCGGAAGCAAACCGCCCCAGTGCATGCCGAAGGTCCTGGATTGATGAGGCCAACAGGCCAACATCATCTGCAAACAGCAGCGATGATATCCTGAAATTCCCAAACTGGTCACCCTCCGGTCCCTTAGCCTGGGTGCCATTCCGAACTTAGTCCCGCCCACAAGGTTTGAGGTCGGGAAGTTCGGTCTGGCTCAGCTCCATAGTAGCGCGAGTATGATCGCCCACTGTCAGGCGATCCAATTAAATTGTCAGGGCGGGCTTTATACAATGATGGACAGATGATCAACAGTAACGTGATCAACCACGTGACCAAAGCGCGCTTGGGTGACAACAAAAATGGCTGCCGCTGGAGAGTTGAGGTGAGTAGATTCTGCTATTAGGTCTGTTCTAGAAGATATCGACAGCAAATTAATTTTAAAAGAGGAACAGAGAAACGCGATCAAGGCTCATCTTCTTATTCTAGGCGTGAAACTGCACGCTTTGGTTTTTTGTTGACAACAACTATGCCTCGCTTAACATACGTCACACACTCCGTTGCTCTTATTGGTTGTAGGTCTATCCAATTGAGTGCAGAGGCATTTTTTTTCCTGGTTCATTCAAAACACGCCCCATAATCACAGCTCTATAGAGCAGTATCAGAGTCATATTCTGACTAGAATTGAGTAGGACTACGTCAGGCTACCGGTCCCTGGCTGTGCCTAGAAATTCTGTCGATAAACGTAATAAACAGAACCATTGATAATGGGCAGCCCTGGCAGGGACCAACATGCTGGGAGAGATACGCTTAGATAAAACAGGAATGTGGCCAGAATCTATTGGCCTTTTCAGTGGGTTTGCATCTGAATGGGTCTGATGGAAGCTGAGATCTTCCTCTGCAATTTATGCTTCTATCAATGATTTAGTTAAACATAACTTGAATAAATTCTGAAAATGCTTAAACATGTTTCCTCCTTTGTGTAAGCTATCTTAGAAACAATACCTCCATGGATATTGTTGTGTTTCATCCAAATAATTCATTTCTTTGTGGTTGGACTGGGTGCTGCACCAACTTGTTCACCACATACCAAAATAAATGACTTGTTAAATTTGACACTGTTACCATTAGTTATGAAACTAAGAAAATTAAGTCTAAGGAAGTTATCATCCAGAATGGTAGAAGAATGTTCCTTTAATAGGGTAGAGCAGTAAAGCTTCTGGCCTTAACAGTTTTTCCTGCACTACTTTTACTTTTATACTTTAAGTAGTTTTAAAAATGGTACTTTTACATTTTTACTGGAGTAAAAAGCTGAAGTCGATCCTCTAACTTCTACAAAAGTGTTTTTAAACAGCAGGATTTATACTTCTACTGGAGTAATAAACATGAATACTTTGCACACCTCTGCATGTAAGACATTTTATTACCTTATGAACATTTGAAAATATTTCAAATCTCTTTCAAAAAGGAGCCTTTAAAACGCCTTGTATGAAGAGTAAACAACTTTATTTTTCTTTCTGATTGATCTGTGGGCAAAGTCTTCGTCACACTGACCTTTGCAATTTCAAAGAATAAACAGACAGCAGCAGAAGATTGGCTCTGACTGAACTCTGGGTTCAACTTCCCTGTTTTCTATTCGAAAGTATAGAATTCAGTTTTTTTTGAAACTTCGTTAATCATCTTGTATCTGACTTGCTAAATAAAAAAATGGAAACTATATTTATAGTTTTGTTTGTGGTTAACTGATGCATTTTATTATTACTGACTCTGATGACCGGATCAAGCATCTGTATGTAGAAAATGCTTACATTCATGTATGTCGATCAATCAACTGGTTTTCCTTAGATAGAAAACTTTGAATCAATCTGACTGGATGATCTGGTGAACTGGAAAGTGACCTGAGATGAAGTGAATTGGAGCTATAGAAATAAACTGAATAGATTTGATGTATTACCCAGATATCAGCAGGAGCATAATGTGCTGTGTCATTTTTTACTCAGTGACAGTAAAGCTGGGAGGAGTTTTCCTTATCAGCATCTATTTAATAGTTACTGACTCAGGATCAGTGCAGTCAGCCATGGGTCGTCCAGGGAACCAGATGTGGACATGTACCTTGTGGGTCTTCTTATGTGGGATGTTTGTTGGTCCAACAATGGCCAGCCCGTAAGTTAAAATAAACTTTTTCTAAATATAATTAATATGGTTTAGATAAATTTTTTGTTGAATGGGTTTAAACCATCGAGATTACAGCTGTTATTGTGATTTTGTCTGCAGACATTACATGGTGACCATTCCTGCTATTCTTGAAGCTGGAACTGAGACCAAATTCTGTGCAAGTCTCATGGATCCCAATGAGACTCTGACCATGACTGTCTCTATGAGGTCTGACCAAAACCATTCAGTCCTTTATGAGAGGACCTCCAGGGAGGAGTTTCTCGAATGCATCCAGTTTCAGGTCAACTTTCAAGAAAGACTTTATTTGCATCACATAATAAAAAAACAGTTATTTGAAATTTAAAATTCAAGATTTTGATGTTTTATTCTTGCTGCTACAGGTCCCTTTACTGGAAAATGAAAAGGTGGTCATGCTTGAAGTGGAGGTACAAGGAAACACGTTTAACTCTAAAGAAGTCAGAAAAGTCATGATCAAAGTCTACCGACCAGTACACCTGATCCAAACGGACAAACCCATCTACCTCCCTGGACAGACAGGTAACTGAAATCTGTTTGTTTGTTTTCTTTGACAAACCATTAATCATGGTTTCAAATATGAATACTTTGTTCAATCACTTTTTGCCTAAAACTCTTATATAATCTCTGACGTCTCCCATAGTTCAGTTCAGAGTGGTTTCAATGGATACAAAGTTAAGACCAATTGATCAGCTGGTGAGTTGTTCTTTTTTTCCCCCAAAACTACAATGATTGGGCCTCAAAGGCTCCAAACAAAACTCACAAGTTTATTGATTAATGCTATGGATGTAATATATTGTTTCTGCCAAGTGGGCTTTATTGATCTTTTAAAAAAATTTAAGAATCCCGTGACCCAATGCTGTTAAGTCAATAAACCAAAGGAGTTAATCTTAACAAATAATCATCTATTAAAAATTTTGAAAGGTGAGTCTGGTTCATTTGAACAGTTTTGCAGGTTTCTTGTTAGCATACACTGGGGGACAGAGTGCCTTGCATTTTTTTCCCTTTGAGCTCTTTTTAACTTTTTCATGCTACAACCACATACTTTGTTTTAACTTTATCAAAACATGATGGATATTTCCCAAGATGTGTGAGAACATTCTGTGTGGCTTGATATTTAGACAATTCCTCTGAGGTTATTCCTATAGGGCAGTTACAGAGGGTTTACAGTATGTCTCTACTAGCATTGCCCATGTAGAGACACACATTTTTCTATGCAAAACAGCTCAAACTCAAAATAAACGTAAAAAAAGGGACTCGATTTTTAGAGTTTTGTCATTGTTTTATTGTTAAATGTAAGGTGCATTCTAAACAAATGCACCTTACATGTTGTAAATGTTAGTCCTATGTAGAGGGAAGCTCAGGGCGGATGCAAGGCGGCTTTTGGTGGCAGTGGGAACAGCTCAATAACGCGTGTCTACCCGGGTCAAATGCTTCGGCAAGCGACCAGAGCTGGGTTTACTCGCTGATTTATGTGATACCATTGACCGCAATATATATACGTCAACACACCGTGTCAGTCATTCACCTGCGTATCTCCGCCTAGTTTTCATTACCACACATCAAATCCACCTGCTTCAGCCTCTATTTAACCAGCCTTTAGACCGGCCATCTGTGACAGATTACTCAAGCCTTTGTTGAGAGTTCTCTATGGTACCTGACCCCTTCTACCTCTGGACTCCATGAGCCTGTCTGTCCCCACTCTGCTCTGTTTGCCTTACCTGTCATCGGACTTGGACCTGGATTTCTGCCTGTCTTCGAACCAAACCTGGAACCGTTCTGGATTTCCTTTTGGCACCTCTTCAGACTTTAAAGCCACCGGCTTTGGCTTCGTCCTCAGGATCATCCTGCCTTCCTTCGTCTGCTCGGTTCTCATCTCCTGCCTGTTCGCGGATCTCTGGGGAAGAAGTGTCTGGTGCTCTCTTGTTTGCAGCCGACCAGCTGTAACCTACCTCATCCTCTGGGCATGGACTGAACTATAAGGCCATGTTACTGACTCACACGTTCATTATAATCCTCCGCCAAATAGAGGTGGTCACTAACTTGCTGTCTCCCTCTGCAGAGGTTCCTACCTTAGATGCTAGCACTGTTCACTGCAGTCCTGTTTCTAATAAATATTTTGAGAAATTTGACTGTCTGTCTGCCTCACATGCAGGGTCCTACTGTTCTGAGCCTGACAAAATAATCTGTCCTAACATGGATCCATCGGCAGAGAAATCTTGAGTCAGGAGATATGTCTTTCGCCCTCTAAATTGTTTAAGGTTGATCCTGATCAGTGTCGGGCTTTTTTTCAGCCAGAGTGAGATTCATTTTGAGCTTCAGCTTCAGGGGTTCTGTCAAGATCTTGGTACTGATTTCTTGTCTGATTACTTATTTCACTGACCTGCTTATCTCCGCTCACTCCTTATTACTGCTCATCTGATCCACCTGCTTCAGCCTCTATTTAACCAGCCTTCAGACCAGCCATCGGTGCCATATTATTCAAGCCTCTGGTGAGCGTTCTTTAGCATACCCGTGTGTTCTGATTGCCTGATGCTGACCCATTCTGCCTGTGGACCTGTGAACCTGCCTGTCCCCATTCTTATCTGTTTGCCTGCCCTGTCTTCGGACTCTGTCGGATGCTGACACTGTGACACTTCATGTGGCAGAAACGGCCTTCCGTGCCAAATTTGTAAATATGTGACCGCTGTGATAACAAAGAGGGTCATCATGTATCCATTAGTAAAATCCATCGCCTTTGAGAGAAATTTTTTCATTGGAAATACAAACAAAGCGCTCTTAGCAAAATCCTATAGATGATAATCTGATTTCCCAGTCTCCTGAAGGCAGCATGGACTGCACCAACCCAGTTGCAGTGCCATGAATTTTTTTGCAGAAAACTACAGAAGAGTATTGCAGCCACTAAAGAAGAAAATAATCTCTAAGCTTATCCCATAATTACGAGATAAGATCTCATAATTGTAAGATATTATATTTAGGAGATCAGGAAGGACAGTCATTGCTGAGCTACGCTACATGAAACGTGGGTTATTGGATTTAATCTGCTTTCATTTCCTTTTAGGTGTGTGACACTGGGAAATAATGAGTTACCTCAATGTGGATGGAATTAGTTTTAGTTTGTCAGAATCAAGCAGTAAGTCCTTAGAAATGTTTAGGCGAAAAAGCCCACTCTACTCTGACTCGCTGGAAGTTGCAATGTTCCTGCAGGAGCCTTTAAAGCAGCACGGGATGTTTTATGGTTATAAATTAACGCATCTGAAATGCATTCCCGCTGGCTTGGTGGTGTCCCAAAGAACTGTTTGCTACCTTCTCAAAATCCTAGATCCTCATGGAGAACAGCTGAGGCTTCGTCGCTGTTTAAAACGATCTGGTCCCAACTTCATGCAGCATGT